GGGGGCGCGCTCCTGCCCTGGCTCTGGAGGGGGGAAGGTCTGGGAACGGAGGTGGGGAGGAGGTGGGTGTGCTGGAGTCCCCGGGGCTGCAGGCCACCCCCACATCTGCCAGATGTCCCTTATAGGACAGAGAAATGGGGCCACACAGAGGGGCTCAAGACCCTCCTATCTGGGATCTGTCCCAGGCAGGATGGGGACCCAGGAATGTGCCTGGGATGTGTCCAGGAGGAGGGCCTGTGGGGCTGTCCCTGCTCAGGCACCAAGGCTCTCCTGGCCCCTGTCTCAGACCCCTCCCCAGATCCGTCCCTTCCACCAGGATGACTTCCTGTGCAGCCTGGAACATGCTGCGCCCCAGCTCACCTGCATCCTCAAGGGCGACTGGTTGGGCCTCTATAGGTGGGTAGATGCCAATGGGGAACCTGAGTCTCCTGCTACTGGTGGGTACAGGGTGCCTGTGCCCAACCCATGGCACACAGGGCCAGCCCCACAGCCACTGCCTTTCATTACCCATAGGCGGTTTTTCAAGTCCCCCCACTTTGATGGCTGGTACCGGCAGCGGCGCAAAGAGATGGCCCATAAACTGGAGGCCCTGCACCTGGAGGCCATTTGTGAGGCTGTAAGGGGGGGCTGGGGCTGGGGTGGGGAGGGCTGGGGTTAGAGGAGGGCCTTGGTGATGGGTGCCCCATGTTTTCATGGCAGAACATCGAGACCTGGATGAAGGGCAAGTCCGAGGTAGAGGTCGTGGACCTGGTCCTGAAACTTCAGGAGAAGCTGGTGAGATGCCTCCTGCCCTGCCCAGCCTGGTCCAGCTCGACAGGGAAGCTGCTTGCCCCTGACCAGCATTGCCCCTGCAGGTGCGGGCACAGGGCCACCAGCTCCCTGTGAAGGAGGCGACACTGCAGCAGGCCCGGCTGTATATCGAGACCATCATGGGCTCCCTGCCAAAGGACCTGCAGGCGATCCTGTGCCCTCTCTAGGACAGGGCTACAGGGTATGGTCCAGGGGCCTTAGTACTCCTGAGGGCCTGGATGTGGCCAAGCTTCCTTCTCTCCAGTGAGGGGCAGCCCCAGCCAAGCATGAGCTCCAACCCAGGCTTCCTGCTGTTCCCTGGCCTTGGCTCCTGCCCCTGCCCAGCACCATTATTGTCGCAGCAGTAAAGGTGGCATTTGGAACCTCAGCCTAGGCCCCGACTGTTGATGGATCATGTGTTGGCCAGAGCCTCACCTCCCCCTGGGCCCCACCTGCCCTCTGCAGGGCTACAGGCTGGGGGGGGTGGGGAGCTTGCTGTGAGCCTTGCTGCTCTGGGCCTGGGGCCACTGCCCCCTCCAGGTACCCATCTGCCTGAGTCCTGTGGGGTCCCAGGCGTTGCATTTGATGTGTCTAGCCTCACCAGGCTGCCCAGCCCGGGACTGAAGGACAGAAAAAGGCAGCTGACAAGCAGAACCCCTCCTGACACAGCCCACCCACCATCTTGCCTGGGGCTAGGGGCTTGGGAGGGGTGAGGAGCTTGGCTGCCTGGTTCTTTGTTCCTTGGGAGGCCACTAGGGGGAAGTGTGGGGCCTAGTCATTGGCCCCCACCCTCCAGGACATTGTCCCAGGTTCCATCCCAGGAACCGTCTCTTCCCTCTGCCCCATGAGATTATTCCACTGACAGGCACTTGAGTTACCCTGTGTCCGTCCACCTCCGTGTGTAGCCTGAGTGGCTCTGGACTCAGCTGGACTTGCTCACCCCAGCCAGAGCCCTCTGCAGCCACAGCAACCTCTGGGCACCAAGCTCTCAGAGGTGGTGCACTCCCCAGCCAGGCCCAGCGCTGCTTCCAGCGCTGTCACAACTCAGCACAGGGTGACAGCAGTGTAAGCCAGTGGAAGGGTGGGTGTGAGGCATGGACCCAGAGCTGTGAACCTGCGGGTAAGTCTCCCCACCTCCCACCCTCAGACCCCTCACCTGAGGGGCTGGGCCAGGCCTGCACAGGGCTCTGCCATCTCCTTGAGCCAGTCCTGGCAGAATGAGTGGGCACAGGTGGGGTGGAGGTTTCTGTCCCTCCTGAAGCCCCCACTCAGTCTGTGCCCCTGGATGGAGCCCCCACTGGGGCCTGGATGGCAGCTGTGCTAGTCTCAGAGCTTCTTGTGTCAGCTTGTCTGGCCCTGACCACAGCCCAGGACACCCTGTCATTGTCCCCAGTCTACAGGACAGTTGAGACCAGAACACAGCAGAGGCAGGCAGAGGCAGTAAATCCATTTTTTCAGAAGGAACAAGCTGGAGGCCCTGGAGTGAGAAAGGTTCTGCATCGGCCCCAAACGCCACTCTTAGCAGCCTGCTCCTGGCTGTCTGGTCTGGAGGGGTGGCCTTCCCACTAAGGGCCTAGTCTCCAAGGGGGTCTGCAAGGGCACTAGTACCTTCCTTGTGACTGGCTGGCTCTCTGGCCTCTCCAAGAAAGGCCCTACCATCAGCTGCCCTCGCTCGGTCCTCTTGCAAGCCTAATCCTAACCTCTAACCCCTAACCCCTAACTCCACTGTCAGGAGACAGTGCCAGGCCTGGGGCCCCTCACTATAACCCAGTGGGGGGATACTGAGGAGGGAGGAAGGGGTAGATGGGTCAAAAGCAGACGTCCTGTGTCCTGTGCCCCAGCAGAGCCCTGAGGGCAGAAAGGCCTGGATAAGCAGGGGCCACTGCGTCGGAGAGGGTGCTGTGCTTGGCTTATTCAGCCTCTTGCGGTTGGAGGGCCTGGGGTAGTGGCCTGGGTGCAGTGGGGCAGAGATGCAGCGGCTGCTCCAGGACAGGAAGGACACTTCACCCCCGAGCTTCCTGCACTCTATTTAAAGATTCCTTTAGTCTTGGCATAGTGGCCTTCCCACGTTTATGGTATTAAAATGTCCTGTGACCACACTGTGCGTTTTAACTTCCCTTTTTGATAAAAAATCGGCATCTCTGTCAGACACTGGTAATTTTGGGGTCCCCTGTGGTGGGGGCTGGGTGGGCATGGTATAGATGTGCTTCAGGGCTGAAAGGGTGAAAGTCTGGCCTGGCTGGTTGGGGTGGGAGGGCAGCTGAGATGCTGAAAGGAGTGACACCCTCCTATCCTAAATGCTTCGTCTGGGGGTCAGGTCCCAGGGGTGGGGAGCACGGGAGGAGATGCCTGAGGGTGGGGAGGCCACAGAAGGAAGCAGACTGACTGCAAGGAGGGGACATCCCAGTGTAAGGGTGTGGGTTAGGTTTGGTGCTAATCTTCCCTGGGTCCCCAACAGCTGCTCACCACCCCCTGTCCTGTCCTGCAGATGGCCCAGGAGGGGTCGGCAGGAGCACACAGGGTCCCCACCTCTGGAATCCAGAAGGCCCCAGGCCATAAGTGGGGCAAGCTCAAGCACAGAGCTGGGAGCCCGGGAAAGGCTCAGGCTCACCACCCACCTCCAAGCACTGAAAGACCGGCTGGTGGGTCCTGGGTCCCGTCCCCAGGGGCCCCGCCTGGGGTGGGGGAGGGCAGCTGGGAGCCACAGATTAGTTTGTAAGGTGACCCCCAGGGCCTTTTTCCCTACGAGGTCGAGGGGTGCAGAGGCTCCTAGGACCGGGTTAGGGACCAGCAGCCTCCACCCCTGGAAAAGGCAGGGGTATGGCCGGCCTGTCCCCAGTCTAGGGCTCGGGGTGCTCGAGAGAACCGCGAGGGCACCGGGGTCCTCCCTCTGGCCGGGCGCGCTCCCTCAGTGCCGGGGCCGGGGCTCCCGTGGGACCCGCGCTCCCGGGGCGGTGGCCAGGCCGC